GATGGTCTCGATCTCCTGACCTCGTGATCCACCCGCCTCGGCCTCCCAAAGTGCTGGGATTACAGGCTTGAGCCACCGCGCCCGGCCTATTTTGATTGTTATAATGACTGGGAGTGTTACTGAAGTTTGTGGCTGAGAGGTGTGGATATCCTGCATCCTGGTAAGTACAGGACAGGACCACGCCAGAAAGATTTAGCCTGACCAGCCAGGCATGGTAGCTCATGCCTGTAATCCCAGTACTCTGGGAGGCCAAGGCGAGCAGATCACCTGAGGTCAGGAGTTCAAGACCAGCCTAGCCAACATGGTGAAACCCTGTCTCCACTAAAAATATAAAAAATCGGCCAATGCATGCCTATAATCTCAGCTACTTGGGAGGCTGAGGCACGAGAATCACTTGAATCTGGGAGGAGGAGGAGGTTGCAGTGAGCCGAGATTGTGCCATTGCACTCCAGCCTGGGTGGCAGAGGGAGACTCTGTCCCCCCCAAAAAAAAAAAAAAGAAAAGAGAGGAAAAAAAAGGTAACACAAATGAATGCCTGACGTACAGCCAGTTGGAAATTCTCCCAAAGGGCTGCTCTGCTCTAGGCTGAGCTGGAGACTTCCTGTCTCTGTCCCATACCCATTAAGTTGCTGCTTGGACAATCTGGAGCCTCAGCTGGGAATTGACGGGAACAGTAAATGGGGAGACCCAGGTCTGGCTCCAGCCAAGCAGAAGGTCCTGGGTTGAAAGTCTCCACAGCCACCATCAACTCTCACTGGTGACAGCAACAGTCCCATCATTGGCCGTCTCTACCTAACAGTCAAAGGAGCTTTTAGTTTTTAATTTTTTTTTTTTTTAGATGGAGTCGTGCTCTGTCGCCCAGGCTGGAGTGCAGTGGCGCCATCTCAACCTCTGCCTCCTGCAGTCAAGCAATTTCCCTGCCTCAGCCTGCCAAGTAGCTGGGACTACAGGCACCTGCCACCACGCCTGGCTAATTTTTGTATTTTTAGTAGAGATGGGGTTTCACCATGTTGGCCAGGCTAGTCCTGAACTCCTGGCCTCAAGTGAACCGCCCACCTCAGCCTCCCAAAGTGCCAGGATTACAGACATGAGACACCGTGCCCGGCAGAATTTTTGTATTTTTAGTAGAGATGAGATTTCACCACGTTGGCCAGGCTGGCCTCAAACTCCTGGCGTCAAGTGATCCACCCACCTCGGCCTCCCAAAGTACTGGGATTACCAGCGTGAGCCACCATGCCCAACCTCCAAAGCAGCTTTTATTTACTTCCTTTTACAAAAATTAATTTAAAAATTTCTTTTCCATACAGATGGGGTCTCACTATGTTGACCAGGCTGGTCTCAAATTCCTGGCCTCAAGCGATCCTCCCACCTTGGCCTCCCAAAATACTGGGATTATAGGTGTGAGCTACCACGCCATTCAGACGTGGCTCCTCATGGCCTCCTACTTCATTAGAATAAAACCTGAAGGCCACTCGCTCACCCACAGGGCCTTCCAGCTCCCTCCCCTACATCATTTCCTACCTCTCTCTGCCTTGCCTGCACAGTGGCAGCCACATGGGCCTTGTTGCTGTTTCCAGAACACACCACGCTCACCTCAGCACCTCCTTTCGGGTACCTGCTCCCCCTGACTGGGCAGCTTCTTCCCCCAAACTTCTCGTGGCTGGTTCCTTTTTGCCACTCGGAACTCAGATGAAGTATCATTTCTCAGATTGCTCAGAGAAGCGTTCCCAAAAGTAGTCTTCCAGCCCTCAAAGCGCCTTCCTCTCAGCCTCCTCGTGCTTCGTACTAACACTTTTTTCTGGTGTACTTAATTATCTTTAAAAATGATAATTTTCTTAAAAACAGCTTTATAAAAAAGAGTTTCTTGTATCTTTATTTACTTACTATTCCTGAGGGCAGGGATTGCGTCTATTTTTCTTCGCTGCTATATCCCTAGAACCCGGTGCAGGTGGATCAATGAATGAATGAGTGAATTCATCATTTTCCCGTCTAACAGATGGGACGGTGCATGGGCTCGCGTCTGAGGGGCTTTCAGTGCTGGCATCTACATGCTGTCTCTATGCCTCTTTACATTTTTTCTGTTTTTGGAGACACAATCTCGATCTGTCACGCAGGCTGGAGTGCAATGGCACGATCTCAGCTCACTGCAACCTCTGCATCCTGGGTTCAAGTGATTCTCCTGCCTCAGCCTCCCGAGTAGTTGGGACTACAGGCACCCGCCACCATGCCCAGGTAATTTTAGTATTTTTAGTAAAGACGGGGTTTCAGCATGTTGGCCAGGCTGGTCTCAAACTCCTGACCTCAAGTGATCCACCCACCTCGGCCTCCCAAAGTGCTGGGATGACAGGTGTGAGCCACCGCACCTGGCCTTGTCTCTAGATCTTATGAATTTTTAATTCTAATCCAATGTGCCCCTGGTTGCCATTTGTGCTAGCTGAACAGGTAACCGGCGCTTGTCTGGTGGCCTGACCTTGCCAGCAGGCCCCTTTGTCAGACTGAGATCCTGGCTTCAGCAGGAGACCCTCCCTCCCACTCTGCCCTCACCCCTTCCTCCCTCCCTCACTCCGCAGAGGTCATCCCGGCCGCGCCTTTCAGCACCTCCAGACATCACTGCTTTTGGAGAAGAGGGAGAGACGGATAACCTCCGGAGCCATCCAGGCATAGGTCCCCGCGGCGCTCATCTTGGTGGTCTTGTGCCACTCGCGGGCGAGGCCAAAGTCTGTGATCTTGAGCACCGTGTCTGCGAGGTTGTGGTTCTCGATGGCCTCCAGGATCAGGACTGTGGGGTGGGAAGAAAGGTGGGTCAGCCCAGACTTGCCATGTTGCAGACCCAAGTGTTCCGGCCCGCTGCCTCAGTCAAAAACACGCCTCTCCTCTCACCGCCTCAGGCTGCCCCACTCTGTGGCAGCTCCTTTCCTGGCCTGGAACATCCATGAGCCCCTCCACCCAGGTCTAATCCCTGTCCCAGGCTCCCATGAGGGAGTAGGGAGCCCCTCCTGTGTCCTCTGCCCTCCTGACTCTGTCCTGGGCTTTGGGGAGCTCCATGAATGGTCGAGAACCAACAGCCAAGGCTGAAGCAGGTCACTTGAGCCCAGGAGTTCGAGACCAGCCTGTGCAACATAGCAAGACCCCATCTCTACAAAAAATTTAAAAAAATACTTGGTTGTGGTGGTGCGTGTCTATAGTCCCAGCTACTTGGGAGGTTGAGTTGGGAGGATCACTTGAGCCTGGGAGGTTGAGGCTGCAGTGAGCCATGGTCTTGCCATTGCACTCCAGCCTGGGCAACAGAGTGAGACCTTGTCTCAAAAAAAAGAAACAACAGCCAAGGTCTTGGTCATCCAGGCCTTGAGTTCCCAGTTATCCTGGAAGCAGGAACTGCAAACCGTGGGCAGAAGGGAGGAACGTGGC